CGGTCTAATGGTGGAGGCACATAACGGGTGAAACTAAAATAGCATGTGAGATCTCGACCTTCGTTACATGTGTGCTGCCTATCAGCAGTTTTCCATAATGCTTTTCTGGCCCAGAGTGGAATGGGCTCCAGCATCGCAGCACTTAATCGAGCTCAGTGGGATGCAATGATGACAAGCATTGTCAGTCAAACAATTCAGGCGGAAATGAACATTCCCAAAACCACAGTGTCCACCTTCGGGGCCGAAAGAGAAAGAACAACTTTGGTGGATTATTGTGTCAAAGAATGAAAAAGCAACCTCAATGGCAATCAAACCATAATGTAGTGTCAGAATTAATGCGGGGGAGGAGTGCCAAAACGTTACTTACTTACACCTGCCAAATTAATTTTTTTTAAATTAGTTGTGCGAATTTGGCTCTTAGCCCAAACTCTAGCTATTAAAAGCACTGATGTGTATAAGGCTGTTATGTTGAGTTGGTAGAAATAAAAAGAAAGCGTGAAGACCGAATTCCAGATGGTGAGCAGAGGGTACCTCCGTCAAACAGTTCGCAGAACATTGTTCAATAGGCTCCTGTTCTGGCACGTTATTGGGCAAAAAGAACCTTCAATAAGTAGAATAGGATTGTCGCTGCCTGATTATGCATAAACTCTCCGAAATTTCTGGTTCTTTGCATGCAAATGTGATGAAGGCTCCCTCACCCAATTCCGATGATTCCTTTTTTCCGTGAAGTCGTTCGATTGTTTTTTTCGTTTTCTGCAATGCACCTGGGCCATTGGGTTTAATTTGAAATGTTCCGTGAATTTCGGCAGTCAAAAAGCATGTCCGTATTACAGTGACAGTAAAAGCGCTGGTAATAATCATACATAAATCGGAAGTAGCCGAGACCCCTCGCACATTGGCACCTGCTATTGCACGACTGCGGCGATATCTCCGATCGATTAAATTGGAGGCCAACACATAATTGGCGGGCTACAGCATTCGTTCCCTAGCACGTGGCTTGGCCAACCACCCGAAGCCTATTTTGGTCCCCCTACAGGTGTCTGTCTTCTGATCATGCTATCTTTATCTGGCCTCTACATTGGGTCACACGGTTGATTCGCTGGACTAGTACTGGCCACGGCAGGCATTAGTAACGATGCGCACTCCATAATAAATGCCCTAGATAAGGGAGGGTGTGTGGTAACTTGCTATGCCAGCCACCTGCGCCTGGTCTGTGTCATGAAACAGCATTCAGGTGGGATCAGGGCACATCAATCATACCATCTACCGTATTAGCATTAATTCCGGCGCCAGTCACTGCCTGTCACTTACGCGAACAAGGCAGTCACCAGTTCGTCAGGCTCAGAAGCCAAGTGTGTCTGTTTAGGAGTGACAAGCGGCTGTTTGCAAATAATTATTTAATTATTTTTCACTCGAGAATTAATTTTTTCAAGTCCAAAGCAACAGGCTTTTGGGAAAATATAGATTTGCATTTTTATTCTTTTTAGTTTTAGAGTGCGCATATACTCTGATGTCAACAACTGCATTAATCCTGATTAATTCTTGTGGTTTAGACTCCGATATTAGCAGGAGTACTAATCCTGCGTAAAAGACATAAAATGGTCGATATAAAATAAACTGGCAACTGAGATTCAGCCAATGGTACCATCAGGTGTAGTAGTAGGAAGCTATTGAGCAACTTGACTGAAACTCTACAGCGCTGCTCCGGAGTCATATTTAAAAAATAAATATTTCCATATAGGTAGTTCCTTCGAAGTCTATTTTTATAT